CACACACGCATGAACGCACGCACACACACGCATGCGCGCTCGCTCACACACGCATGCGCGCTCGCTCACACACGCATGCGCGGTCGCTCACACACACATGCATGAATGCACGCACACTCACGCATGAACGCACGCACACACACGCACGCGCGCTCGCTCACGCACACATGCATGAATGCACGCACACATGCATGAATGCACGCACACACACGCACACGCAGGCAACCACGTACACGGACGCCCGCACATACATGCATGCACACACACACACACCCACACACTCTCACACTCACACACACACGCAGGAGCACGCACACGTTACGTACACGCAGACACACGCACACGCACACTCACACGAGTGTGAGCGTGCGCAGCAGCTATCGTGTTACCTCGAGCAGTGATGGCGACTCGCGCGCGACGCTCGGTGTGCTCGCGCTCGCCCTCACGCCCCCGCCGCCCGCGTGCTTGCCCGCCGTGTCCAGCGACCCCGTCGAGCTGGCCAGCGAACCGGACATACGATCTCTGTCGGCGACGCTCCCCGATTCGTCGGCGCGGCGGCGATAGTGTATAAGCTCACGCTGCAAGTCCTATAAACAACACGAACAATCACCGTTATGTTAGCCACCTAGGATCCGCCGTTGGAAGCTGCATGTGTATGTACGATGATATCGATGTTATTGATTAATTTTTTAAATAAAAAACTATTATATTATTATTTATTTACATTTTAATTTGTATTTTTACATACTATTACTACTTAAGAATAATAAACAAAAAAATTATGTATTATAGTTTAATTAATATTATGTCGAGAAAGAGTTATGACAATTTGGACTATAAGCTGATAATAATGATAGTTGTAACTATTTACAATGTTTCTGACAACGTGCTCCAGAATTCACAGGTGCTGCGCACTCTTATGTTTGGCTCTGAGCCCACCAATGACTATTAGGACCCGCACGTGCTGTTTATAATGACCACAAGTTGTAGAAATTATACATGTTGCAGCTGTTGCTGTTTGGCAGTGCTTTGTGGGGCACACACACACGGATCACGTTTATGCCGGTACTGTTTCCTGGAACATTTATTTGCCACATCTGTAAATGCCAGACTGTGTGGCTGACTGAGAGAATAAATACTAGATCATGTTGCTTTAATATTAGCAGCCGTTTACTGCTTGTTACTACTGGGACTGCTTGTAGATGATTATGAACTTAACAAGGATAATAACGACAAGAAAAATATAATAAATGCACAAAAAACAACAGCAAAATGCTGAAACTGGGACAGCAATTTACACAAGTATGAAAGCAACTGGCAACATAGCCTGTAAGTGTACGATAGTAAATTAGCCCATGCAGCTAACATTACCCTAAGAGCCAGTGTATGCCTCTTCTTTAGGACTTTGTTTTCGTTCTCCTCATCCTTAACCCTCGTGTGTAGCTGCTCCACTAAAGTGGTCTTCTCCAGTAGCTGCAGCGTTAGCTCACTCGTCTCCTCTACCCTCTTCCGTGTCTCCTCTCCCAGCTCCTTCTCCTACACACAAAATTTCCATTCCATACACTCAGTGGAAAAAATGACGTACACTCAATGACCACGCGATGAAAATGCGATAGGAGTTATATATGTGGCTTGTTACTCATAATAAACACACATTGTTACACAACACTTATTTTTGCAACTATCACTGATGTAAATTAAAAAAAATAATTGGTTGTAAATACGCCGGAAATCAAGACGAATGTGGTAAACAATCCACGGATGAGCAAGAGACATGAGTGACGTGTTTTCTTGCTAACTTAAGAGTGTAACTTACAATTATCGTGAACACATCTGAAGTACAATGACATTAGCGCTTATTATATATTGTTATTTATTATTTATTATTATTATATCCAACACCTGTATATTTAGACCATATCTGATTTATTAGCATTGAACTCACCAGCTTCTTACATTCATTTTGCAAGCCATTGCTGAATTTTGTGAGCCTCTCGACGTCTGAAGCCATAGCAAAAACCTGGCAGCACACAAAACAAGCATCAGATTTAATAAACCAAGTCCTAATTCAACAAATGCTCGACATGCACCTGCAGTACATCATACTCACTCTGCAGCGAAATGTACCGCCAAGAATCGTTACTAGGGTTTTTGACATTTTGACTGCTTTCAGAGATTTTTCCCAACACTCGTTCTTTGTCGTCTGCCGTCGTTTTTTTTCTCATTTTGTCCTTGTTTTTGTTATACTTCTTTGCAATTTTATGGTTTTCGTCATCCGAGGACTTTTTTTTTATCCCGGCCGTCGCATTTTGCGCGCCCGTTCCCGTCGTCTTCACCGTTGCGACCGCGCCCGACTCCGACCTTGACATCGGCAGCACTGACCTTGGCGTCGACGGCGCTGCGCTGCGACTGCAGCTGTGCGTTCTTCGCCGTCACCTTCTCGGTAAAGCCGAGTAGCTCACGCTCCTTGCTGCGCATCGCGACCGCGCGATCGGCCACGTCCTCCTGGTGCTGCCGCAGCGTGTCCAGCTCCTGCTGCAGCCGCGCACTGTGCTCCCGCTCCCTGCCAAGACAGTTATAATAATAATAAATAATAATATTAATAATAATAGTGGTTCTGCCGCAGCGTGTCCAGCTCCTGCTGCAGCCGCGCACTGTGCTCCCGCTCCCTGCCAAGACAGTTATA